TTCGGTCCCCAGCCCCGACCAGAGCTGCGCACGCGCACTGGGCGCTCCCAGGAAGCCGTGATGGGCAGCGCTGTCCCCAACGTCCCCAGAAAACCTCAGGCTCCTCCAGGCTGAGGAAGAGGCCAGTCCCCTCACCTCCCAAACCGAGGCCACCATTCCTCGTCATTTCCTTCGAACTATAGGGAACCCTTCTCACCTTTTCCATAAAACAAGGACACATCTTCTTCCCCGAAACTATGGAAAACACAGACTACCAATTCCCCGCAAACTAAGAGGGCTCCACCCAAATCTGAGGGGCATTGGGCTTATTTCGTCCCAAACTGAGGAGGGCCGTCTCCACTTCTCATTCAAGCTGAGGGGCACCCATCCCCTTTCTTCTCAAAAACTGAGGGAAACATGTTCTACCTTCCTCCTCAAACTGTGTCATCCCATCCTTTCCCCACAACTGAGGAGCACCGCTCCCTCTTCTCCCCGCAACTAAAGGAAAATGACCCCACCGCTTCCTTCAAACTGAGTGGAATTTATTTTCTCTTCTTGCTCCAAACGGAAAGAGTCAGGACCACCTCATCCTTAAACCGAGGGAGACCAGGTGAGCCACTATCTGAGGAAATTTCCGCCCCACCGGCCCTCCCAATCCCTCCAAGGAGCACAGCCTCACTGCTCCGCGCCCCAAGAAGCCTTCCGGCCCGCGGCGCGCTCTCGAGGGCGGGGCGCGAGCTCGGCCTTTCCCGCCCGCCTGGCCAGAGAACTAACGGGATTAAGATCGCGCCCTCTGAGTGGCTCGCCGCAAGCCCCGCCTCCGGCAGTGGTTGCCCGCCCCACCCCCCCGCGCTTTCCGGGACGAATCTTGGCTCCACCTCCTTCCTCGGCCCCGCCCCCTTGTGACTCCGCCCCTCTTCTGCAGCGTCGGGTCCTGCCCCTCCCAAATCTAGTTTAGTTGTCGCGGCCGGACCTCGACCTGGTCCGAGACGCGCGGTGCGAGCCAGTGGCAGAGCCATGGCTGGCGGGGAAGACCGCGGGGACGGGGAGCCGGTCTCAGTGGTGACCGTGCGGGTGCAGTACCTGGAGGACACCGATCCCTTTGCATGTGCCAACTTCCCGGAGCCGCGCCGGGCCCCCACCTGCAGCCTGGACGGGGCGCTGCCCCTGGGCGCACAGATACCCGCGCTGCACCGCTTGCTGGGGGCGCCGCTCAAGGTGAGGGGCCCCGGAAAAGATATGGGGGCGATCGAGGGTTCAGGATTGGTGCCATGAACGTCTTTGGGAGGTGCCCCTCGGGGAGAGGCTGGAGTGGGTACGCTCCTCCGGGATACTTTGGGGCTGAGGACCGAGGTCCGCGCAGCCCTGCTTGCGGGAACGCCTCTCAGACTGAGGGGAAACTGCAGAAGGGAGAAGGGAGCTTGTGGTTTGCGCCACCCTGGCTGCCCCTTAAAGTGAGGCCCCCCTGGGGAGGTGGTCGAGGGGAGGGGGTGCTCCTAGCTGCCCGTCTGCCTGGGTAACTGCTGTGGATTGGGTGGCGGTAGATATTTGAGTGGTAGCGGACCCAGGAGGCGGAGCTGGGGGGGTGTGGACCAGCCTCCACCTCACCTGAAGCGGGGGCGGAACTACGAGGCGGGGCGGGCCGCTATAGGTGGCAGAGGCTTCGAGCGGTTCCTGGAGGTTGGATTGGGTCCTGCTGTGCAGAGTGTTGCCCCTGCAAGTGGGGGTGGGGAGGTGGCTTGGGAGGAGAAGAGACTTAACGGGGTGCGGGGAGTCCTCCAGAAGCAGCCCAGGCCGGGACTAGCCGAGCGCGGGAGGCTCCGCTGGTGGAAAAGCCCTTTGAGTCACCGCCCCCACCACCCGTACTCGCGCCGCCGCGGGCCAGCAGCTGGAAGGGAGGCGGCGGGCCGGGCTAATTTTAAACCGCCGGCCTGCTCTAGTTTGCCTGCGCCCCGGAACCGACTCGCGCACAATACCGGGGAAGGCCCTTTTCCAGATGGCGGGCCCTACCTCTCCTCCCGCTCGCCGCGCTCAGCCCCCCGCAGGCAGCCCTTTCCGGCGCGCGGGGTTTCCGGGCCAGGACTTTGGGAGGCCACTACCACCCCCACCCCCACCCCCACACGCCAGCCAGTCCACACCGAGTGGTGCGGACGAGGAGAGAGAGTTGGTGGTGGTGCAATCCCCTGCTCCTAGCTGGGTCGCCGAGTTGCGCAAACTTGCCCCCCGGACTCGGGGTCTCCCTTGGAATGTGCCCCGGGCGCCAGGCCCCCCGGCCTGCATTCCTGGCGCTGCGGGCCAGACCCGCCTCCGAGAATGGGCGGGAGAGGTGGTGGGACTATTGGCCTGGGGAACGGCACGTGTCCCTGAAAAAGCCCGGTATTCAAGGCCATGACTTGAAAGTGTCAGCACGCTGCCCATTCCAGAGTTTTGATGCAACATCTACCCCCCTCTCCACCCTCGTCCTGCTCTGTTGAAAGGGGCAAACAGGTGGGCCTGGAAGAAGCGCGTCCACCAGCGGGAGGCCACCTCCTATTCAGCTTGGGCGCTAGGGAGAGAGGGGTGCTGAACTGAGGCCAGGTTCCTGAAACGCCTGGAGCTCTACAGAGAACACAGTATTCCACCCACCACCACCACCCCTACTCTAGGACAGGACTTTCCAACTAGGGGCAGATTTGGGAGGACAGCTACAGGAAAGAGGCTCTAGCCTCTGTTCTCTGCTCCCTATCTGAGGACACTACTGAACTCAGAGAATGTGTCATCTCTGCCAACTCAGTCCTTCCTAGTTTCCCCACTTTCAGGATCTCCCACCTGGTGTACTTGAGGGACTGTCATATCCCCCACAGGCAGGATATGGGGGTGGACACATTGGGCTACCACAGTGCCTAGAGCAGGACTCCCTGGGGCTGACAGCTCTGCCAGCAATGGTCAGATGCACTGTGATGTGCTCATCCCAAATATAAACTGTGACCACAGCCCCAGAATAGAAGGCCGGAGGAAGAAGGGCTCAGAATAGGGTAGGGTCAGGGACATCAGAGATCTGCGAGAGGGGGAGCAGGGCCCTTTTTTGCAAGAAATGTCAACAACTGGTTCCTTCCCTAGTCCTATAAGTGGGTGCCCCAGGGGCACAGACATGACTCAGGCCTGCCTTGATAGTCTCTAGAGGGGAGAGGTAACCCAGAAATCCAGGCGTCCCTGTGCAGGGCTGTACAGCAGAAATGAGGGAGGGGTTTTGTACTCCCTGCTTCATCCTCTGTACAGTTGTCCAGCAAAGGAACAGGACTAGCCAAGTCTGCCCTCCCAGTCTGGGCACTGACCCCCATCATCCCTGCAGACCCTGCCCCCTCCCTGGGGATGTACAGAGACCCAGCCCACTTTCCCTCTGGGGCTCCACACCACACACCCCATTGAGTTCCTCTAGGGCTTCTTCCTTTTTAAAAGACTTGGAGCTTTCACACCACAGAGGGCCTTGCTCATTTCCTTTCAGTCTAGGAGGAAGCTCCTGGCCACAGCCTCTGACTCATCTCCTGGCCCTAAGAGGGGGTAGGCAGGGTCCTGGCAGTGCCTTCGGCCATGCCTGATGTCTCCAGGGAAACTCAGGAATATCTATCTTCCCTCTATTGCCAGAACCTCTCCCAGTCCAGGAACCTGCCCCTGCACCAAGAGCAACCAGGCCCTCTGGCCCTGCCGCTCACCTCCTTAACCCTCCCTACTACCTTTGCTCTTGGGGTGGTGCCTCAGGAGCCCCTCCCTTACACCCAAAAGCCCTGCCACATCTGGGATAGCACTGACTTCTCCCTGGGCTCTGAGCAGAGGGACCTGGGTGTTGCTCTGACCCTGATGCAAAGGCTAGAGGAACCCCCTACTCCTAGCAGCAGAGATAGCCCTAGAAATCTGTCCATTACCAGCAACTTTGTTTCCCCAGCTGTGGCTAAAGATTAGAGTAGGACAGGGGTGGCACTGTCCTAGAATGCGTCCTGACCTTGCCCCCTCCTTGCTCCAGCCTCAGTCTACCCTTCAGAAGCAGGATAGGCTAGGAGGCTAAGTGTTAAACTAACATACTGGGACAGGGACCGATTGGAGGGGTCCCAGAGGATTCTTAAGGGTAAGAAGGGGTGCTCTGATGATGAACTGAGTCCTTTAGCCCCCTGATAGGGAGGTTTCTTTGGGAGATTGTAGAAGATTGGGATGTGGGCATGAGTCATGGCCTCCCCACTTTCCCTATGGCTGGCATGTCACTGATCATTCTGGGCTAAGTAACCTCGTGAAGGACTCAGACCTAGATCCTGGCAGAAGTAGGCACTATTACCCCAACATGTATGGTGTGTGTGTGTTCATTAGCATTCCCTTGCTGGAACTGGGAGGACCAGTTTGGGGTATTTGTAGAGTCCAGACAGCTGAGAGGCTGTCTTCAGCACTTGGCAACCCTATAGGCCCCAACCCTCATTCCACCTACCCTCAGGTTCCCCTGGCGCACTTCCAATGAGCTTCTGGGTAATTAAGATCTAGGTCAGTTAGCCCTAGGCCCGTTCCTGGTTGTGCAGCAGGTGCAAATCCACTGAATTTCTTGGTCTCCTCACCTGTCAAAGGATTATCAGAATCAAACTAGGCAGCCCAGTGTATTACACAGAGGAGGCAAAACAAGTGGGTTTCCCTCCTCAAAGCCCATCCATGTCATCTCAACCAGGAAGTCATGGTCTCCTTGGAGATCTGAGATAACAGGAAAAGAGGCTCATAGTTCACAGGGTCTTGTGTGTATAGGAAAAGGAAAGAAAAGGGCAGTTAAATTATTTCCTAAAACAAGAGTCCTCCAGCATATAATTCTGTCCTCTTCCCCATCTTCTTTGTACCCTGCCCCTGGCATGTCCATTCTCACCTGATTACACTGCTATGAAAAATACTGGGGAGTAGACACCAGGGTCCCCTAAGCTTGGCCCTGCATATAAAATCATATGTAACAAGTTAGTTAGGGCTGCCAGAAAAACCTGAGCCCAGAGAATCCAAAGGAACGTAGTCTGGAGGTTGAAGTGAGGGGCTGAGCCTGGGAAGAATGGAGGAGGGACACCACCCCAAGACAGACAGCAGAGAAGTGTGGAAGACAAGAGCCAGGAGAGAGTCACGGACGTAGACCTACACTGACCATGTGCTGACCCTAAGCACTGTCAGCAGGGACCAGGGTTTGGGCTTAGTCAGGCCTGGCCCAGCCCCAGGGTGTGAGAAACAAGGCCCAGAGGTTTGGCTCTCAGAAGGGTGACCCCAGGAAGGGGCCAGGGGTGTGAGGGACAAGCACCACTCAGCTGGCAGGAAGTCTCTGCTCTTTGCTGCTTGACTGACCTGAACTCCCCCCCCCCGCCCATCTCCATCCAAGACAAACAGCTGGAGGAGAGGAGCATTGTCCTATAGGCTTTGGGTTGCCAATTACCCATGAGCCTCCTCTCCATAAATGGGGCGCTGGCAGAATTAGACAGGTGACATGGTTAGGGAAGCCACTAACCACCAGGGTTTAAACCTGCTCATCTGAGGAGGCTGGGGTGGTAAGCACTTAGTCTTGAGGACCCCCTCCCCCACAGGGATACAGGCATCCCAGGTACCCTGCACACTTGGGACTAGAGCGTGTAAGTATGCGTGCAGGAGAGGAAGAAAGCGTGCTGGGCCCGAGCTTTCCGTGGGTGTGCTTCTTGGGCCTGTGCCTGGCCAGCGAGCATGTATATACAGGTGTCCCCAAAAAACATATACACACTTTAACAGCTAATTTCTATTACATTTTGAAAATGAAATGTATTTTAATAAACACTGCCTTTATAATTATACCAAGTGTGTATACATTTTGGGGGGACACCTTGTATATACCTGACCATATATACCTGGGTTTGTAAGCAGTTACTGCATATAATCGATCACCCCTCCAGTGTTTATCTTTATATAACTCCTCCTCTCCCCTTGCTTGGCACCCTTGGCCATTGTGCCTCTACATTTATTTGTGGCCTTTCTCTGAGTCAAGCCTGCCTGCCTCCAAGACTAGCTGGAAAGCAGGGGAGGCAGAGGCAGTGTCTTGTTCTCTGCTCTGTCCTCAGAACCTAAAACCAGCCCAGTTCATGAATGTTTGGATGAGCTGTTCTCTATGTGTGTGATTTGGGGGATCCCTGAAGGGGGTTGCAGCTCTGGGGGAGATATGTTTCTCTAGGGTCCCAGAAGGAGATGCAGCTGTGCCTGGATGGGGGTAGGGAGGGTAGGCTGCTGAGTCATCTGTGGGAAGAGGGATCAGGAGGAATGTGGGGCTGTCCTCAGCTGAGCTGGCCCTGGACAAGGTACCCCAGCCCAGGGGCCTTACCCCCTCGCAGCTCAGGCCTATTCCCAGTAGGCCCTGGAGAAGATGACTCTGCTCCTACGGAGGAGAGAGAGGCCAGGCCCGCCCAAGGCGCCCAGGGAAGGGCAGGCAGCCAGGCAGGAAGTGGGACAGAACAGGCTGGAGTATTTGTTCTATGTCCCATGTCCCAGTCAGTGGGGGGAGGTGGTCACCCAAGGGCCTCACAGGAAGGGCCTGAACTGCCAGGAAGGAGCTGGGTCAGGCTCTCAGGCACAGCAGGGATGCTACGCAGAGGCAGAGGTGGGGCAGGAGCTGGACTCCCTTTCCCCTCAAGGGACCAAGGGCAGCTGGAAGCCCTTGGGCTGGGTCCAGAGCAAGGCAGGACTGACAGAACAACAGGACTTTTATTCCCAGTAAGATGGAGACCGTAGGCACCCTGACTCTGCAGAGGGGGCTCTCTCTGGGTCATAGCACCTCAAGGAGGAGAGCCACTCAAGTCAAGGGGACTTTGCTATGGGGGAGGTGTCCAGGAGAGGCACAGTGCTGCCATCAGACTCTCCACAGTCACCTTACTAGGCCCTTCTACAAGTACTTCTCAAGGAGCCAAGTGTCCTGCCCAGTAGTGGAGGGGAGCCAGGCTCAGTGGGGAGAGAGACGTGGGAAGCATGTGCCTTCTTGTTATGATGCAGGTTTCAGGGACCCACTATAGACTGACTGAGTCAGACCCTAAAATCTGGGTTTTCAATAGGCCCCTTGGAGGCCTCTGAGGTCCAGGTAGGACCATGGTCACCGTAGCCCACGTGAGAACATGGCAAAGACCCTCAGGCCTGGAGGGACTGGGAGCCTGTGTATTAGCCCCTGCTACTCACTGTCTTAATTCAGGGACACACATACACCTCCCAGCTGGGTTTGCACCTCCCAGTGATATGGTTGTATTTAACCCAATTATTAATTAACTGGAAAGGAACAAAGGGAAGGCGGAGTATTTAGGCATGCCCAGTGAGGTCTGGGTGACATAGGAGAGGTGATTATCTGTCAGTCACACCCAGGAGCCAGGTCATTGGCCAGAATAGGCGTGGCCACTGCAAGGGCGCAAAATCTGAGATACATAAGCTCCTAAACAAGCAGGTTCCCTCTCTTGCGTGCTGGGCTCCTGGTCCAGTTGTTGCAGGGGCACACTCCCCTATATTCGTCCACATGGCCCACAGCCGTGTGGACCCCACACAACGGACTAACGGACTGTGACTAGCCTGATGCTGTGCCGGACTTAACTCCACCGAAACTGTGGACACTGGCTTTGCTTTTGGCTCTGCTGAATCCCCAGCTGCACCTTTTCCTGGTTTAAGGGATATGGGACTTTTGAAACCCAGGGATATATTCCACGCAAGTAAAAATCACCCATTCTCCCATGCAAATCTTAGAAAATTCTTTTTCTCAAGATATCGTAAGAACCCGATCCCCAACACCCAGTGGGTAAAGGGATCCCCCACTTTCACCAGTGGATACCCCACTTCCACCAATAACACCAGCATTCTTTTTTTTTTCTTTTCTTTTTTCTTTTTCCCTTAACACTTCCTCCCAGGGCTTGAATGCTTGTGGCTACAGCTTATCACCCCACGGGGCTGTGAACTTCCTCGAAGGCAGGAACTTCCTTCCATCTTCTCTCCATTCTCGTTCCTCATTTATGTTCATTAACTCAATACATGTTTAGTGAGAACTTACAATGTGCCAAATGCTAGGCTACGCTCTGAGGATATAGCATGCAGCAAGACTGACATGGTGCCAGAACCCAGAGAACACACGGTTAAAGGGGAAGAAGACTAGTGTCTAGGATATTATACTGCCCTGGGGAAGGCCTCAGAGTAGGGTACACACATGGCATGGTGTGGGTTGCATAGCATTGCATAGCAGAAGAGTCCAGGAAGTCTTTTTAAAAAAAGCCTTATGTAATCTGAAACCTAAAGAACGGGTAAGTGCTAGCCAGGAGAAGACATAGTACATACAAAGGCTTTGCACATAGTAGGCACATGAAGGATTGCTAAAGGAATGCTTGGCTACGGTGCAGCCCTTGTGGTGTGCCTCTCTGCCAGCACCCTGAGTAGGAGGTAGGAGGTCATGAGGTCTCCGTACCTACCCCTGCCACCTCTTCCCCATCCCTGACAGCTGTTCTCTTTGCCCCCAGCTAGAGGACTGTGCCCTGCAAGTGTCTCCCTCTGGATACTACCTGGACCCTGAGCTGTCCCTGGAAGAGCAGCGGGAAATGCTGGAGGGCTTCTATGAAGAGATCAGGTCAGAGCTGGTGAGACCAGGAACATAAGGCTGGCCACAACCTTGCCCCCACCAGAGGCTGGCTCAGGTGTCAGCAGCCAAGACACCTGATCTCTAGCCAAGGACACATGCACGTCACCTCCTGCTGCCCCAGGGAACTGTGCCAGGGGAATCCCAAGGCCTGGCCAGTGTTACCTGCTACCCAGGATGGAGTGGGGGCTCTCCCACATATCTGAGATTCCCGTATTTGCATAAATCCTTCTGCCTGGCCAACCCTTGGGCTTAGAGGATCAGTTGGGGAGGAAGAAGCTGGGCCTCAGTTGGCATGTGGGGAGGTCTTTGGCTGCCTTGTTGTGGGGGAAGGGACCCCGCAGAATGAGCTGGGAGGTGCTGACTATGCTGCTTGATTCCAGCAAAGGGCGGAAGCCTACATTGATCCTGCGGACCCAGCTCTCCGTGAGAGTCAATGCCATCTTAGGTGAGTGTGTGAGGGCATCAATGTCCAGCCCAGCTGGCTCCGTTTCTTTCAGGCATGTACTGGACAGTGGACAGGACAGATCAGAGATAGAATATGTGGCCCCTCCCCATTCCTATCCTGACCTTTCCTTCTAGGGCCAAGGCTAATGCTGCAGCTAGACTGTAGTGGGGGCTGCCCAGAGCCAGGGAATAAGTAGAGGAGGAGGTGGAGGGTTCAAGAATACTAGAATATTCTCTAAGGTTGCCTATGTCCCCTTGAGGTTACTATGTCCATCCACCCCTTACAGAAAAATTGTATGGCTCCAGTGGCCCTGAGCTTCGCCGCTCTCTCTTCTCACTAAAGCAGATCTTCCAGGTGAGGCCCTGAGGTGGGCTGGGGGTGGGCATCCTAGCCTCAGCCCCCTTAAACTCCCCCATGGTGCCCCCAGGAGGACAAGGACCTGGTGCCTGAATTTGTGCACTCAGAGGGGCTGAGTTGCCTGATCCGTGTGGGTGCTGCTGCTGACCACAACTACCAGAGCTACATCCTCCGAGGTCAGCCCCACTCCTCCCCCAGGACCCGTGCTTTCAATGACCCCGTACTGATCTCTTCTTGTTTCTGTGTCCTCAGCACTGGGCCAGGTGATGCTTTTTGTGGACGGGATGCTGGGAGTGGTGGCCCACACTGAGACCGTGCAGTGGCTGTACATGTTGTGTGCCAGCCTGGTAAATGGCCCTCCCCCCAGACATGCACCCTTTTCCCACTGCCTCTCTCTGGGCCTCAATTTTCTCTCCTGTAAAATGGGCAAGAATGGAGTGAGTCTGTGGCCCCTCTAAGCCTAAAAGCACTTCAATGCCTGGGCCTACAGCCAGGGTCTTTTTGTTGAGACTCTCCTGTCTGGGTCCAGCCCCAGGAGCCCTTCCCCCACTGCACCAGGAGCTGGCCCAGCTCTGGCCCAAGCCCCACTCATATGTGGTTATCCCTCCCCTAGTCCCGCTTGGTGGTGAAGACGGCTCTGAAGCTGCTGCTGGTGTTTGTGGAATACTCCGAGAGCAATGCACCGCTGTTCATCTACGCAGTCAACTCTGTGGCCAGCACCACCGGTCAGAGACTGTCCCTCCCTCCCCACCACTCAGAGCCTTCTCCTACCTTCCTCCTCATGACTGCTCCCCATTCTGTGTGGCAGGTGCTCTACCATGGGCCAACCTGGTGTGCATCCTAGAGGAGAAGAATGGTGCAGACCCTGAGCTGCTGGTGTACACAGTCACCCTCATCAACAAGGTGTGTGTGGAGGGGGAACCAAAGGCCAGGTATGAGCCCCTCAGGCTCCTGCCTTCAGGCTCCCATGAGCCTTAGCCTCCTATCCCCAACCTCCAGACGCTGGCAGCGCTCCCAGATCAGGACTCCTTCTATGACGTGACGGATGCACTGGAGCAGCAGGGCATGGAGGCACTGGTCCAGCGGCACTTGGGCGCTGCGGGCACTGACATCGACTTACGTGCACAGCTTGTGCTCTATGAGGTGGGCTCTGGGCTGGGCCGCCAGGGCCCAACAGGGAGCCAGAAGAGGGGAGGGAGGGGGCACGGTTTCCCAGCACCCACCCTACCTCAGTTGCTCACATCTGGACCCATGTCTGCTAGAGTGCCCTGCGGATGGAGGATGGAGACATCGAGGAAGCCGCCGCAGGTGGGCGGCGGGAGCGTAGAAAGCCCTCTTCAGAGGAAGGCAAGAGGAGCCGCCGATCTCTAGAAGGCGGGGGCTGCCATGTGCGCACCTCAGAGCCTGGGTAAGAACATGCCTCAGCACTTGGGGAGGAGGGATGGATGCACCAGGAGTAACCTGTCTCCTGACAGACCCCGCCTCCAGCCCCACAGGGCCCTCCTCCTCCTCCTTCTCCTCCTCCTCCTCCGGCCCTGACCCACTCACAAGCCCAGTGCCCAGCCCCATGGGCCCTGCCTCTGGCCTCTGTACCTCTGCGAACCTCTTTCCTGCCCTCTCCGTGGCGTCCTCAGCTGACAGCTCTTGTGAGAGGAGCATCTACAAGTAAGTAGGGAGATAGAAGCTACCCCCCTGGAATCCTCTCCCCACCTGTCCCTCCTGCTCTGCTCCCCTCCATGGACCCTCGGCCTCCTCTGCCCAAACGCGTGCTTTCTCTCTCTCTTTCCAGACTTCACCAAACTGCTCCTATTTGGTAAGTGACTGCTGGGGGGTGGGGTTCGGCTCTGACCGGACCTCCTCCCCCTGGGGCTTCTCTTCATCTCCTTCTGGCATTACGTCTGGTCTTGGCCAATGTTCTCTGTCTCCCTGCCCCCTACTGTCTTTGTTTCTCCAGCACTGTCTCTGACTCTTGTTCTGCTCTGTCTTTGTCTCTTACTGCACCCTGTCCGGCTTCATGTCAGTCTCTCCCCTCCACTTACAGTTTCCCCTTGTCATGTCCTCCCCAACCCCCTCCTCTTCCCACTGTGGCTGGGAAGGAATCCCTGATAGCACTGCCCAGGTCTGAGTAGGTGTGAGCAACTGGGCTTCCAGGTGGAGCAGACACCACAGTTACTATTTCTTCTCTCATCTCCCCCCCCACCCCCACCCAGGGCCCCTGAGAGCCCACCTGTCCCCCAGCCCCCTACTGGGCAGGCCAGGCTGGAGTAAGTAGAGGCCAGCTTGCCAGGCCTGCCATGTGCTCAGGGCTTCAGCATTGCTTCTCCCAGCGGGGCTCCATTTGCCTGATGCAGCCAGAGCTCGGGGACTCTCGGGCCCCTTTTCCCCCAGACCTCTGCCTCCTCGGTTACCTAAGGACTAAGCATTGGGATTAGTTCCCTGAGGTCATAGTGGATCCTGTGCTTCAATAGTGATACCTTGATAGCTTTGACCAGAGATGAGGACATAGACTCCCAACCTGGAGCCCATTCTCCCAGGCATAGGCCAGGAATAGGGCAGGGAGGGGAATTAGGGTGCTGTGCAGTGTGGAGGTAGAGGAACAACCTAGGGCTAAGATAAGGGCCGGGACTGAGGGCCAGTGGAGGCTAGAGGGGCCCAGAAAGAGACATTGGATCACTCATTATTTCAGCATAAACTGAGTGCCTGTCTACCAGGCCCCTTCCTGGGCATAGGTCATAGTTCTCAGAAGCTGCAGACATGCCAAGGGAGGGATGTGCCCATTGGCACAGCTATCCCCTTCCCCTGCTCTAAGGGTCCTTGTCTAGAATCAGGACAATTAACATAAATAGCAAGGTTGCAAGTTAGACATTAAGTAGAACTTCTCTCTGTACGTTGACCTGGGAATGCTGGGTTGGAAGTGACCCTCCCCAGATGTGGAGGATTGAACAGGGGCTGGACTTGGGGGGTCGGGTCCTGGGTCTGCTTGGCGCATGGTCTGTTCCTGTGTGTCTGTGTGTGCCTGCAATTAGGGGCAGTGCCCAGGGGACCAGCATGTGCACCACCCTGGGCTGGGGTGTGTCAGACACCCTCACTGACAAGTGCCTCCCCCCAGAGCCCGGTTCCTGGAGAATGTGGCAGCAGCAGAAACAGAGAAGCAGGCTGCGCTGGCCCAGGGCCGGGCAGAGGCATTGGCTGGGGCAGTGCCCGATGAGGCTGATGGACACCCAGGTGAGCGGGTGGGTGGGCAGAATCTACCCATGTCTCCCTGTTACCCCACAGAGGGCAAGACACTGACAGCTGCTTCTCTTTTTTTAGATGCCCGGGAACTGTGGAGTTCCCCTGAACCGGTCCCAGTTTCTGCACCCAAAACACCCCAGAGCCCTGCCCCCCGAGTCCTGCTCAGGTCCCAGAGGAGCCTTGAACCAGAGCCCAAGGAGCCACTGGCTCCACCAAGCCCCAAGGCTGAGCCCACCCAGAAGTTCTCTACTCATGTACCCAAGCTCTGCATTGGGGACCTGGACTTCTCAGATCTGAGGGAGGACGAAGACCAGGACATACTGAACATAGAGACTGTGGAGGCTGGGAAAGGGGTCCCGCCCCCACCACCCCCACTGCCCTT